GTAAAGCATGGAGGAGGAGATGTTATGGTGTCAGGGTGCTTTGCTGGTGACACTGTCTGTGATTTATTTAGAATTCAAGGCACACTTAACTAGCATGGCTGCCACAGCATTCTACAGTGATATGCCATCCCATCTGGTTTGGGCTTAGTGGGACTATCATTTGTTTTTCAACAGGACAATGACCCAACACACCTCCAGGCTGTGTAAAGGCTATTTTACCAAGACGGAGAGTGATGGAGTGCTGCATCAGATGACCTGGCCTCCACAGTCACCCGACCTCAACCCAATTGAGATGGTTTGGGATTAATCGGACCGCAGAGTGAAGGAAAAGCAGCCAACAAGTGCTCAGCATATGTGGGAACTCCTTCAAGACTGTTGGAAAAGCATTCCAGGTGAAGCTGGTTGAGAGAATGCCAAGAGTGTGCAAAGCTGTCAACAAGGCTATTTGAAGAATCTCAAAGATAAAATATATCTTGATTTGTTTTAAACTTTTTTGTATACCACATGATTCCATTGGTGTTATTTCATAGTTTTGATGTCTTCACTATTATTCTACAATGTAAACAATAGTAAACATAAATAAAAACCAGTGAATGAGTAGGTGTGTCCAAACTTTTGACTGGTAGTGTATATATATACAAACATACATACACACATATACATATACGCTACATTACCAAAGGTATATGGACACCTGCTTGTCGAACATCTAATTCCAAAATAATGGGCATTAATGTGGAATTGGTACCCCCTTTGCTGCTATAACAGCCTCCACTCTTCTTGGATGGCTTTCCACTAGATGCTGGAACATTGCTGCAGGGACTTGCTTCCATTCAGCCACAAGAATTCATCCCACAGGTTTTCGATGTTGTTGAGGTCAGGGCACTGTGCAGACCAGTCAAGTTCTTCCACACTGATCTCGACAGACCATTTCTGTATTGACCTCGCTTTGTACATTGGGGCATTGTCATGCTGAAACAGGAAAGGGCCTTCCCCAAAATGTTGCCACAAAGTTAGAAGCACAGAATCATCTAGAATGTCATTTTATGCTGTAGAATTAAGATTTCCGTTCACTGGAAATAAGGAGCCTGAACCATGACAAACAGCCCCAGACCATTATTCCTCCTCCACCAAACTTTACAGTTGGCACTGGGCATTGGGGCAGGTAGCATTCTCCTGGCATCTGCCAAACTCTGATTCATCAATCAAACTGCCAGATGGTGAAGCGTGATTCATCATTCCAGAGAACGTGTTTCCACTGCTAATTTAAGTTAAAAAACTCTAAGTGTTGAGTCAAGTGTTGTTTTTTGTATCAGTTCATATAAACTCAGCAAAAAAAGAAACGTCCCTTTTTCAGGACCCTGTCTTTCAAAGATAATTAGTACAAATCGAAATAACTTCATTATAAAGGGTTTAAACACTGTTTCCCATGCTTGTTCAATGAACCATAAACAATTAATGAACATGCACCTGTGGAACGGTCATTAAGACACTAACAGCTTACAGACGGTAGGCAATTAAGGTCACAGTTATGATCACTTAGGACAATAAAGAGGCATTTCTACTGACTCTGAAAAACACCAAAAGAAAGATGCCCAGGGTCCCTGCTCATCTGCGTGAACGTGCCTTAGGCATGCTGCAAGGAGGCATGAGGACTGCAGGGCAATAAATTGCAATGTCTGTACTGTGAGATGCCTAAGACAGCGCTACAGGGAGACAGGACGGACAGCTGATCGTCCTCGCAGTGGCAGACCACGTGTAACAACACCTGCACAGGATCGGTAAATCCGAACATCACACCTGCGGGACAGGTACAGGATGGCAACAACAACTGCCCGAGTTACACCAGGAACGCACAATCCCTCCATCAGTGCTCAGACTGCCCGCAATAGGCTGAGAGAGGCTGGACTGAGGGCTTGTAGGCCTGTTGTAAGACAGGTCCTCACCAGACATCACCGGCAGCAACGTCGCCTATGGGCACAAACCCACCGTCGCTGGACCAGACAGGACTGGCAAAAAGTGCTCTTCACTGACGAGTCGTGGTTTTGTCTCACCAGGGGTGATGGTTGGAATTGGTACATCGAAAATCTCCACCCAGCTATTTTGCAACCTGTATTGCGAAGCCGTCAAAATGTTTGTCCTCAAATGAAACTGGTAATTTTTTCATTAACGCCAATCCTTTCCAGCCAGTTTTATCTTTAATATATGGCAGACAAACAAGTTCCCTACCTTCTCCCTTTTCCACTTGCCATCTCCATTTTTGCGGTAATGCTGCAATCAGTTAGTTGTAACTTTGGATTAAGCAAATATTCCCAAATATCTTTGATAGCTGTGTATGTGACATAATTTGTCCTATTCATAATATCATTAACAATTTCTCCCATTCTTCTCTGCAGATCCTATCAAGCTCTGTTAGGTTGGATGGGTATGGTCGCTTCACAGCTATTTTCAGATATCTCCAGAGATGTTCGATCGGGATCAAGTCCGGGCTTTGGCTGGGCCACTCAGGGACATTCAGAGACTTGTCCCGAAGCCACTCCTGCATTGCATTTGGCTGTGTGCTTAGGGTCGTAGTCCTGTTGGAAGGTGAACCTTCATCCCAGTCTGAGGTCCTGAGCGCTCTGGAGCAGGTTTTCATCAAGGATCTCTCTGTACTTTGCTCCGTTCATCTTTCCCTCAATCCTGACTAGTCTCCCAGTCCGTGCCGCTGAAAAACATCCCCACAGTATGATGCAGCCACCACCAAGGATGGTGCCAGGTTTCCTCCAGATGTGATGCTTGGCATTCAGGCCAAAGAGTTCAATCATGGTTTCATCAGACCAGATAATCTTGTTTCTCATGGTCTGAGTCCTTTTGGTGCCTTTTGGCAAATTCCAAGCGGGCTGTCATATGCCTTTTACTGAGGAGTGGCTTCCATCTGGCCACTCTACCATAAAGGCCTGATTGGTGGAGTGCTGCAGAGATGGTTGTCCTTCTGGAAAGATCTCCCATCTCCACAGAGGAGCTCTTGAGTTCTGTCAGAGTGACCATTGGGATCTTGGTCACCTCCCAGACCAAGGACCTTCTCACCCGATTGCTCAGTTTGGCCAGGCGGCCAGCTTGGTGGTTCCAAACTTCTTCCATTTAAGAATGATGGACACCACTGTGTTCTTGGGGACCTTCAATGATGCAGAACATTTTTGGTACCCTATCCCAGATCTGTGCCTCGACACAATCCTGTCTCGGAGCTCTACGGACAATTCCTTCGACCTCATGGCTTGGTTTTTGCTCAGATATGCAATGTCAACTGTGTCGACCTTATATAGACAGGTGTGTGCCTTTCCAAATCATGTCCAATCAATTTAATTTACCACAGGTGGACTCCAATCAAGTTGTAGAAACATCTCAAGGATGATCAATGGAAACAGGATGCACCTGAGCTCAATTTCGAGTCTCATAGCAAAGGGTCTGAATACTTATGTAAATAAGGTATTTCTGTTTTTAATTTTTAATAAATTTGCCAGATTTTCTAAAAACCTGTTTTCGCTTTGTCATTATGGGGTATTGTGTGTAGATTGATGAGGGAAAACATGTATTTAATCAATCTTAGAATAAGGCTGTAATGTAACAAAATGTGGAAAAGGTCAAGGGGTCTGAATACTTTCCGAAGGCACTGTATATATAATGTTACAAAAAAGCTGCTTGACCGTTGGTATGAGGGTCTTACAGTGTAATGTAGTGTTTGGTTTTCATCAGGCATAATGGGACCCATGTCGTACAAAACGTTGACTCAGGTTTTCCAAAAAGCATCTGGATGCACCTGGATGATCATCAATACTTTTGGAAGAATGTTCTATGGACAGATGATTCAAAAGGATAACTTTTTAGACGAGATGGGTCCCATTATGCCTGGCGAAAACAAAACACTGCAATCCACAGTAAGAACCTCATACCAACGGTCAAGCATGGTAGTTGCAGTGTGATGGTTAGGGGATGCTTTGGTGCCTCAGCATCTGGATGACTTGCCTTAATAGAAGAAACAATGAATTCTGCTGAGTATCAGAGAATTCTACAGGAGAATATCAGGACATCCGACTGTGAACTGAAGCTGAAGCGCAGCTGGGTAATGCAGCAAGATGATGCAAAACACAATTTGATGTTTTGGAATGGCCAAGTCAAAGTACAGACCTATTTCAACTTGTGATGCTGTGGCAGGACTTGAAACGAGCAGTTCATGCATGAAAACCCCCAAAAGTATCTGAGTTAAAGCAGTTCTGCATGGAAGAGTGGGCCAAAATTCCTCCACGACGACGTGAGAGACTGATCATCAACTACAGGAAGCTTTTGGTTGGAGTCATTGCAGCTAAAGGTGGTACAACCAGTAATTAAGTGTAATGGGGCATTACTTTTTAAATAAAATAAATAAAATAAGGTTACCTTTATCTAATATTGGGTTTTGGTTGAAGATCTGATAACATTCAGTATCAAAACTATGCAAAACTATAGAAAATCAGAAAGGGGGCAAATACTTTTTCACGGAACTGTAAGTGTTTTCTTGACAGGTTCAATGTGAACAGTGTCTTATGAGCCCACATTGCCTTAGCCACTGTGAACAGATCAGAGGACCTATCCCCGGCATCATTGGCCATGTACCATCCAGCCTCCTCCCAGGACCCGTATAGGACAGTCAGAGTTGATCAGATTTACAGTAAACCATAATCAACGTGAAAACACCCCTGTGTGTCAACAAAAAACACTGTGGGAAAAATGTACGTGGGTAAAACAAGGCGTGGGTAGTTGGGTAGGTGTGTGTGAGTGTGTTCTGGCGGCAGGTAGGGTGGGTAGGTACATTTGCATCACCTGACTCCAGCATCCTGAATAAGTATTTGCTGATTGAGAGGAGACTGTGACTGTGCAGTATCGACATGTTTGGATTTACCAAGAAGGCTGGACAGTCATTTGGTTCATAGGAAAGTGTCCCGTTCATTTCTGATCCGTGGTGTTTGATAAGTGGCAGAACTATGGAGTATCCTCTGGTGTGTGTTCTCATCCTGGTGCTGCTCAATTTCACTACAGGTAAAGTGGACAATTAGCTCATTCTGGAAATATATTGATGCCTATTTGTGCTATATGGCACAAACGCTTTGTTAAATAAGTAGCAGGTTGTCAAATGTCTCTGTTTGGTTGATGCACTTCAGTCAAACAGTATCAAGTCAGCAAGAAGGAGATTTCTATTTATCTGACATTGACAACCAATGTCTAGAGTAGACACTAGACATAGATAGTAAGTCATTTTGTAAATTGTGCGTTCAACTTGAAGGCACTAATTTTGAATGAAAAGCTTGTATTTCTGTTAAAGTGCCATAGTCTGAAGATTTGATTAATCTCAATTAAACTATTTTAAAGAACTATAAAGACTTTTGTACTGATTAATAATAAGAAATGTAAAGACTTTTGTACTGATTAATAATATCTCAAAACATGAACTAAACTCATCAATCCATCCTCTTCTAGATGTCTCTGGCCAGGCTGTGGTTCCCTCTATGAACCCCTTAGCTGTGGGAAGTAATGTCACACTGAACCTAGTTCCCCAAAGCCCCATCACCATAGGGACCTGGTCATATGAAACTACAGTCGTCGTACTTTTCTATCCTGGTGGCAGTAGTGTGAGGAAAATGTATCAAGGCAGAATCTCATTCAACCGCTCCTCCTCAGAGCTGTCCATAAGCTCTCTCCAGCTCAACGACTCAGGACGATATACTGTCCAGGGAATGGAGCCAGTCCTGAACGCAGTGGTGACTTTGTCTGTCCAGGGTAAGGAACTGACATCAGCCTGTCTGTTTATCTTTCTACGATGGTAGACTCTCACACACTGGCACACACGGTCACTTGCTCGCACACATGCTCACCTGCACACCTATTCATATATTTTCTTGCACGCAGGTTCACATGCAAACATGCATGCACATCAGTGGAGGCTGCTGAGGGGAGGACAGCTCTTAATAATGGCTGGAATTTAGTGTAATGGAGTGAATGGAATGGTATCAAACATATGAAAAACATGTTTTTGATACCATTCCATTTACTCCATTCCAGCCATTGTTATGAGCCGTTCTCACTTCAGCAGCCTCCACGGATGCGCATACATTATCTATCAATGATTAATCTCTGTCACAATAATAAAAGGCAAAGTCATTTTCCTGACATGGAAAGCTAACACTTAAATGTGTCAATGTATTCTGAACCTATGTCACGATCGTCGTATTGAACAGACCAAGGCGCAGCGTGATGAACGAACATGTTTAACTTTATTATCTTTAGTGATAATAGAACACAATCAACAAAACAAGAAACGACTCGTGAAGTCCACGGTAACAATGACCGAACACGGAACAAGAACCCACAAACACAAAGGGAAAATAGACAGTATAAATATGGCTCCCAATCAGAGACAACCAACGACAGCTGACACTCGTTGCCTCTGATTGGGAGTCACTCTAGCCAACATAGAAATAAACACAACAGAATTACCAACATAGAAATAAACACATAGAATGAACACACCCTGGCTCAACATATAGAGTCCCAGAGCCAGGGTGTGACAGTACCCCCCCCCTAAAGGCGCAGACTGCGACCGCGCCTCAACCTGAACAAAACAGGGGAGGGCTGGGCGGGCATACCTCCTCGGCGGCGGTTCTGGCTCCGGCCTTGACCACCACCCTCCAATAAACCCCCCATAGCGCCCCTGGTCCAGTCTGGCCCCGCCGGCTGGAGCTGAACTGGACTTAGCAGGAGCGGTTAGCTTCAGCTCCAAAGTGGAGCAGTTGACCGGTACCTTACCAGGCACCGGTGACCCAGGCACGGGTTGTGCTGGACTGACGACGCGCACCCCTGGCTTGGTGCGTGGAGGAGGAACGGGCCTTACCAGGCTGACGACGCGCACCCCTGGCTTGGTGCGTGGAGGAGGAACATGCCTTACCAGGCTGACGACTCGCACCCCTGGCTTAGTGCGTGGAGGAGGAACGGGCCTTACCAGGCTGACGACTCGCACCCCTGGCTTAGTGCGTGGAGGAGGAACGGGCCTTACCAGGCTGACGACTCGCACCCCTGGCTTGGTGGGTGGAGGAGGGACGGGCCTTACCAGGCTGACGTCTCGCACCCCTGGCTTAGTGCGAGTAGCAGGAACAGGCCTTACCAGGCTGACGTCTCGCACCCCTGGCTTAGTGCGAGTAGCAGGAACAGGCCGGGCCGGGCTGGCGATGCGCACCGTAGACTTGGTGCGAGTGGCAGGAACAGGCCGGGCCGGGCTGGCGACGCGCACCGTAGACTTGGTGCGAGTGGCAGGAACAGGCCGGGCCGGGCTGGCGACGCGCACCGTAGACTTGGTGCGAGTGGCAGGAACAGGCCGGGCCGGGCTGGCGACGTGCACCGTAGACTTGGTGCGAGTGGCAGGAACAGGCCGGGCCGGGCTGGCGACGCGCACCGTAGACTTGGTGCGAGTGGCAGGAACAGGCCGGGCCGGGCTGGCGACGCGCACCGTATACTTGGTGCGAGTGGCAGGAACAGGCCGGGCCGGGCTGGCGACGCGCACCGTAGACTTGGTGCGAGTGGCAGGAACAGGCCGGGCCGGGCTGGCGACGCGCACCGTATACTTGGTGCGAGTGGCAGGAACAGGCTGGGCCGGGCTGGCGACGCGCACCGTAGACTTGGTGCGAGTGGCAGGAACAGGCCGGGCCGGGCTGGCGACGCGCACCGTATACTTGGTGCGAGTGGCAGGAACAGGCCGGGCCGGGCTGGCGACGCACACCATAGGCTTGGTGCGTGGAGCAGGGACAGGCCGGACTGGGCTGGCGACGCACACCGTAGGCTTGGTGCGTGGAGCAGGGACAGGCCAAACCGGGCTGGCGACGCACACCGTAGGCTTGGTGCGTGGAGCAGGGACTGGCCGGACTGGGCTGGCGACGCACACCGTAGGCTTTGTGCGTGGAGCAGGGACAGGCCGAACCGGGCTGTGGAGACAGATAGGAGACCTGGAGTGAAGAGCGGCCACAACCCGTCCTGGCTGAATGCCTACCCTCACACACTCTGTGTGAGGCATCCGCACAGGACGTACAGGGCGGTGTATCCGTAACCTGGTGGCCTTCTGAATCCGCCCCTTTTTTGCCTCCGTCAGCCCCGTCATCCATGCCGTGTGCCCCCCCCCTAAAAATTTTCTGGGGTTGCCTCTCGACCGTCCGACGACGACCCTGATCACGCCGTTGCTCCTCTCTCCGTCGCCTCTCCACTGTCTCACTCCATGGCCGGCGATCCATCCCGGCCAGGATTTCCTCCCAAGTCCAGGACCCTTTACCGTCCAATATCTCCTCCCATGTCCAGGCTGCCTGCTCCTCTCTACGGCGCGCCTCCACCGTCTCTTCTCCCGGCGCTTCCTCCCATGTCCAGCCCAAGAGCTGCCCCTGGACACGCTGCTTGGTCGTTGCATGGTGGGTTCTTCTGTCACGATCGTCGTATTGAACAGACCAAGGCGCAGCGTGATGAACGAACATGTTTAACTTTATTATCTTTAGTGATAATAGAACACAATCAACAAAACAAGAAACGACTCGTGAAGTCCACGGTAACAATGACCGAACACGGAACAAGAACCCAAAAACACAAAGGGAAAATAGACAGTATAAATATGGCTCCCAATCAGAGACAACCAACGACAGCTGACACTCGTTGCCTCTGATTGGGAGTCACTCTAGCCAACATAGAAATAAACACAACAGAATTACCAACATAGAAATAAACACATAGAATGAACACACCCTGGCTCAACATATAGAGTCCCAGAGCCAGGGTGTGACAACCTATAGTGAATTTGGACTACCACTGAAAAGAATGAACCTGAACAGATCACAGAGTATGAGCAAATTTTACACAATACTTTTTATGTGTGCGCAAAGAGACTAAGAGCTCTACAGTGCTCAATCCTGTAACTTGGTCTCTATGAAAATTAAATTAAATTAAATAGCATATTTAGATTAATTTCCAAAACAAGTTTTACAGTGTGAAGCAAAACATCAACTATATGGTTGTAATTCAGTAACACACAAAAACACTTTTTTGAGACACATACATCTTATCTTGACTGCCATCTACTCTCTCACCCACAGAGCCCATTTCAAACGTTGACTCTAAGGGCCAATGCCATTGATCTAGTGGAATTGAACGACACTGCCATTTTCACCTGTTCCGTCTCCTCTGGCACTTCCCTCTCTTACCGCTGGCTGAATGGCAGCTCAGAGGTCACAGCCAGTGACAGAGTTCGGCTTGGTGGTGGGAACAGCACTCTCACCATAGTCAGTGTGACACGATACGATGAAGGGCCATTCAGATGTATGGTCATCAACGGAATCAGCAATGGCACCAGCCAGCCCATTGGCCTCAATGTTAGATGTGAGTATCAGAGTCTGCAGTACATATCAATCATACTCAACAGACATGGATTGTACCTTGTCATTGAGAGCCAGCACTCCATGCAATGATGCAATATGCCTATTTTCATCATAAACCATTCCTCTGTATCCACTTGATCCAGGTCATTATTTGCATGGATCATTAGTACACTGTGTTTAGTAGAGCAGGACAAAAACATATTCTAGGGAATGTTTACCCAACACATCATTGTTATTGGTTCCTCCCATAGATGGCCCAAGTAATCTCACCATGATGGTACTTCCTGAGATGACCATAGGACATACAGCCTACAAATCGGGCTCTGACATCACTCTGTCCTGCTCCGCTCAGTCCAAACCCGCTGTGTCCTACAAGTGGAGGTTTAATGGGGCGTTCCTCAATGAGCAAAGCCCACAGCTCAGCCTGCAGAACACCAGGGAGAACCAGACAGGAGGTTACTCCTGCTTAGCCCACAACAATGTCACACTCCGATTCGCCACCCTGACCACAATGATAAAGATCATGGGTGAGGCAACATTCACTGTTTACGAAATGTCATATAGTTGGTAGTGAATATTTGATTATTGATGGTTAAGAATACAATGTTATGTAATTAGGCAATAAGGCCAGAGGAGGTGTGGTATATGTCCAATATAACACAGCTAAGGGCTGTTCTTATGCCTGGACACAGCCCTTAGCAGTGGTATATTGGCCGTATACCACAAACCCCCGAGGTGCCTTATTGCTATTATAAACTGTTTACCAAAGTTATTAGAGTAGCAAAAAGCAATGTTTTGTCATACACGTGGTATACCACGGCTTTCAGCAAATTCAGGGCTCAAACCACCCAGTTTACAATGGTCTTTTTACCACCGATCGAGTGAAGTACAACACGACAAATGACTCATCCTCTTCTTTTACTCTAGAGCCGATATCAGCAGTTGCGTTGAACAGTGATGGGAAGCCACCGATACTGGGTCAGTCGCTCACTTTGCGGTGTGAGGTGACTGGACCTGTAGACTACATTCACTGGCTGATGAACAGCCAGCTCATCTCCCTAAACAACAGAACGATCTTCTCTACGGACAACAAGACAATGGTTATCAACCCAATCCAGTTTTCTGACAGTGGAGAATATCTCTGTGAGGCCTTTAATGCTGCCAGCAACCTGACCAGCATGACATACAAGCTTGTGGTGAACTGTGAGTATTACACGAGCTGGTAATCTTTGTCTGATAAGACCAATTCAGTGGCCTTGTAGTTAGAGTGTCCGCCCTGAGATTAGAAGGTTGGGAGTTTGATCCCTGGACGAGTCATACCAACAACTGTACAAATGGGACCCAATGTGTATTTTCTTGGCACTCAACATTAAGGAGATAGAATCGGGGTAAGGGCCTGTGATAGACTAGCGTCCTGTCCAGGGGATGTACTTATACATCAAGCTGCAACACACTTGTGCAAGGCTATTTACTTACTAATCTTTGTCAAAATAGTCAAACCATAAGATAAACCATACTGTTAACTGTTTAACAGTTGGACCAGAGAGACCTGCTGTAACTAGTCCAGATATCGCGATGACAGGACACATCGTCACCTTCAACTGCTCAGCCTCCTCTCAGCCTCCCAGCCAGTTCAGCTGGTTCTTCAATGGCTCCAAGGTGGCGACTGGCTCAGTGTATAAGACTAGCCCACTAACCTTAGCCAGTTATGGGGAGTACACCTGTGTGGCCTTCAACAACATCACTGGCAGAAACAGCACTGTCTCCAAGATGCTCACCGTCATTGGTAAGACAGAAGAGACATCTAAACTGTTTAACTTGTACATGTAGATATAGGCCAATCAACATACAGTGATTGCAGTCAATATTCTTGTGATACTCTGATGTTTTCTTCACAGATCCAGTCACAATGGCCATGGTGAAAGTCATTGGAGCCCAGCCAATACTGAATGAGACATTCTCTCTGACCTGTGACACCGCTGGAACCATTTACTCCATTCACTGGATGAGGAACAGCTGGCCTCTGTATGCTGACAACAGAAAACAATTTTCTATGAACAACAATACACTGACATTCAACTATGTCCAGCGTTCTGACAATGGAGACTATCAGTGTTCTGCCTCCAACCAACTCAGCAACATGACCAGCCCAAGCTACAGACTGATCGTCAACTGTGAGTAGTTATTATGTCCCAAAACCAAACTTGATATCTGCCAATCTAATTCTAATTTTGACCTATAATGAGGGCAAGATTAAATGTGTAGTAATGGAATTGGGGTAGGTATTGATGCCACTTCTGGCACCAATATAATGAAGCCAAGGGGATGGCTGGGTATTGCTGGGGTCAAACTCAGGGAAGCGCACTAATGGCAGTTCCAATAGCTAATCTCATTCAATATCTTCATTATCTTGTGTTTCCCAGATGGTCCAGAGAGACCTGTTATCATGAGTCCGGATATAGCGATGACAGGATACATTGTCACCTTCAACTGCTCGGCCTCCTCTCAGCCTCCCAGCCAGTTCAGCTGGTTCTTCAATGGCTCCCAGGTGGCAACTGGCTCAGTGTATAAGACTAGCCCACTGACCTTAGCCAGTCATGGGAAGTACACCTGTGTGGCCTTCAACAACGTCACTGGCAGAAATAGCACTGTCTCCAAGATGCTCACTGTTGTTGGTGAGTCAGCAACTGCTACTTAAAATCAAGGAACTAAAACATGCTTTAGTTTGTTTGTGTTCAGTTGGTTTTAGACACAGCCTAAGCGCTGTTGAACCTACAGTATAATTAGATGGAAGTTGAGATATAAAGTGCTGAAAAACCATTTGACCTACTTTCCACAGCACCTGTGACCATGACCATGGTGAAAGTCATTGGAGCCCAGCCAATACTGAATGAGACATTCTCTCTGACCTGTGACACCGCTGGAACCATTTACTCCATTCACTGGATGAGGAACGGCTGGCCTCTGTATGCTGACAACAGAAAACACTTTTCTATGAACAACAATACACTGACATTCAACTATGTCCAGCGTTCTGACAATGGAGACTATCAGTGTTCTGCCTCCAACCAACTCAGCAACATGACCAGCCCAAGCTACAGACTGATCGTCAACTGTGAGTAGTTATTATGTCCCAAAACCAAACTTGATATCTGCCAATTTAATTCTAATTTTGACCTATAATGAGGGCAAGATTAAATGTGTAGTAATGGAATTGGGGTAGGTATTGATGCCACTTCTGGCACCAATATAATGAAGCCAAGGGGATGGCTGGGTATTGCTGTGGTAGAACTAAGGGAAGCGCACTAATGGCAGTTCCAATAGCTAATCTCATTCAATATCTTCATTATCTTGTGTTTCCCAGATGGTCCAGAGAGACCTGTTATCATGAGTCCGGATATAGCGATGACAGGAATCATCGTCACCTTCAACTGCTCGGCCTCCTCTCAGCCTCCCAGCCAGTTCAGCTGGTTCTTCAATGGCTCCCAGGTGGCAACTGGCTCAGTGTATAATACTAGCCCACTGACATTAGCCAGTCATGGGAAGTACACCTGTGTGGCCTTCAACAATGTCACTGGCAGAAATAGCACTGTCTCCAAGATGCTCACTGTTGTTGGTCAGTCAGCAACTGCTACTTAAAATCAAGGAACTAAAACATGCTTTAGTTTGTTTGTGTTCAGTTGGTTTTAGACACAGCCTAAGCGCTGTTGAACCTACAGTATAATTAGATGGAAGTTGAGATATAAAGTGCTGAAAAACCATTTGACCTACTGTACTTTCCACAGCACCTGTGACCATGACCATGGTGAAAGTCATTGGAGCCCAGCCAATACTGAATGAGACATTCTCTCTGACCTGTGACACCGCTGGAACCATTTACTCCATTCACTGGATGAGGAACGGCTGGCCTCTGTATGCTGACAACAGAAAACACTTTTCTATGAACAACAATACACTGACATTCAACTATGTCCAGCGTTCTGACAATGGAGACTATCAGTGTTCTGCCTCCAACCAACTCAGCAACATGACCAGCCCAAGCTACAGACTGATCGTCAACTGTGAGTAGTTATTATGTCCCAAAACCAAACTTGATATCTGCCAATTTAATTCTAATTTTGACCTATAATGAGGGCAAGATTAAATGTGTAGTAATGGAATTTGGGTAGTTATTGATGCCACTTCTGGCACCAATATAATGAAGCCAAGGGGATGGCTGGGTATTGCTGGGGTAGAACTAAGGGAAGCGCACTAATGGCAGTTCCAATAGCTAATCTCATTCAATATCTTCATTATCTTGTGTTTCCCAGATGGTCCAGAGAGACCTGTTATCATGAGTCCGGATATAGCGATGACAGGATACATCGTCACCTTCAACTGCTCGGCCTCCTCTCAGCCTCCCAGCCAGTTCAGCTGGTTCTTCAATGGCTCCCAGGTGGCAACTGGCTCAGTGTATAAGACTAGCCCACTGACATTAGCCAGTCATGGGAAGTACACCTGTGTGGCCTTCAACAACGTCACTGGCAGAAATAGCACTGTCTCCAAGATGCTCACTGTTGTTGGTGAGTCAGCAACTGCTACTTAAAATCAAGGAACTAAAACATGCTTTAGTTTGTTTGTGTTCAGTTGGTTTTAGACACAGCCTAAGCGCTGTTGAACCTACAGTATAATTGGATGGAAGTTGAGATATAAAGTGCTGAAAAACCATTTGACCTACTTTCCACAGCACCTGTGACCATGACCATGGTGAAAGTCATTGGAGCCCAGCCAATACTGAATGAGACATTCTCTCTGACCTGTGACACCGCTGGAACCATTTACTCCATTCACTGGATGAGGAACGGCTGGCCTCTGTATGCTGACAACAGAAAACACTTTTCTATGAACAACAATACACTGACATTCAACTATGTCCAGCGTTCTGACAATGGAGACTATCAGTGTTCTGCCTCCAACCAACTCAGCAACATGACCAGCCCAAGCTACAGACTGATCGTCAACTGTGAGTACACTCTTAGAAAAAAAGGTTCCAAATGGGTTCTGTGGCTGTCCCCATAGGAGAACCCTTTTTGGTTCCAGGTAGAACTCTTTTGGGTTCTATGTATAACCCTCTGTGGAAAGGGTTCTACATGGAACCCAAAACACTTCTACCTGGAACCAAAAGGGGTTCTTCAAAGCATTCTACTATGGGGACAGCCAAATAACCCTTTTTGGTTCTAGGTAGCACCTTTTTATCTGAGTGTAGCTAACAAGTGCTATAAAGTTCAACTTTAACCCCATGGCTTAAGGTGGAATCTTTGAGAACTTCCTTTATAAATATTGTAGTAAAGTCAATGTAAAGGTTTTGATCCCACCTCTAACACTATTAACATATTTTGATGACCTTTGACCTTCTGGTCAATGACCCCTATTGAGTGACAGTCAGATGTTGGGTCTAACTGATTGTCTTTTGTGTTATAGATGGACCAGAGATGCCTGTTATAACAGGACCAGCATTAGGAGAAACAGGACACATCGTGACCTTCAACTGCTCGGCCTCCTCTCAGCCTCCCAGCCAGTTCAGCTGGTTCTTCAATGGTTCCCAGGTGGCGACTGACTCAGTGTATGAGACTGGCCCACTGACCTTAGCCACTTATGGGGAGTACACCTGTGTGGCCTTCAACAACATCACTGGCAAAAACAGCACTGTCTCCAAGATGCTCACTGTTGTTGGTGAGTCAGACTGTAGATTATTTGCTTTGTTGTGTTCATTTACAATCTGATTAGAATAACAATAACATACTTAGCATACAAAAGAGGCCAAACATTTCACATTTTTACTCAGCGAAGATGTACAGCTGAATACATCCATTCAATATAGTGCAGTGTCCACTTATACCCTTAGCTCTCACCCCCTCCTTCCACAAAGATGTACTTTTCCATCACCCAGGATTTATCTGTGCTCCTCCATGCCTATCACAGGACTTCTCATCAGTCAGGAGAGGCCTTGGGAGTATACATTCCTGGAGTCCACTGCAGTCCACTAAATAATGACACTTCTCATACACAGAGTTTGAACCTAACACTACCTTCAAATTATAAACACATAAAAACAATCTATTCATACTAAGGGGATAGAATTATATAAAACAGGAAATATATAAAACTGTAAGATAAACAGTAATTTACAATCTTTCAGATCGTACAACCATTTGTTTTATATGTACATTTTTTATATATCCAACTATTGCATCGCTGGAACTAACCATTTTATCAAATGACAAATATTGATACTGTACATAAAGCAATACACATCCTCTCTCCTCACAGAGGCTATAAAGTCGGTGATGGTGAAACAAAGCAAAATACCGATAGCATCTGACAATCTAACCCTGACCTGTGATGTCACTGGGCGCTATGACACAATCTACTGGATGAAGGACAACCTGCCTCTGATCCTGAACAACACCTTGAACTCTGACATCACCATCTCCAACAACTCTCTGCACTTCAGTCCAGTCAACGTGTCTAATGATGGAAACTATCAGTGCGTCGCCACCAACCTCCTTCGTCCACACACCAGCCCTAAATACAAGCTATTGGTGAACTGTAAGTACTGGCGTTTTAATCTGTTGGTAAAATATTTAAAAAGATAAAAATGGTACATTATATAATGTAGAAACAGTCAGAAACCCACCACTGTTATGATGGTTAGTGCTATTAGGGATACTTGGGATGTCCCTAGCCTAAACCCTAACCTTAACCCCTACCATTACCTTAACCTTTACCTAGCCTTAACCTTAACTCTTACCTTAACTGTTTTAAATTTCAACTTCAATGGGGTGACGTAAGAGTTGGATGTCCCAAGTACCCCGTTTAGACATTTTTCCCTGTTATGACTCCCCCCCCCCCCCACCCCCCCCTCCCCTCTCTAAACCTCTTTCTGTAGATGGCCCTCTGAGTGTGAACATCTCTGGACCAGTCTCAGTGATGATTGGCTCAGTAATCACAGCCACGCTGAAGTGCTCTGCCGACTCCCAGCCAACCAGTGAATACGGGTGGAAATTCAACAACCAATCAGTGCTGGGGACTGGTCCTTTGATAGCTGTTGTCGCCTCCTTGGAGAATGCAGGGAACTACACTTGTGTGGCCAAGAACCCTGTGACCAACATCTCAATGTCCAACACCATCAGTCTGGATGTCACTGGTAAGTGGGTCGGCTGTTGTAGTAAGACCTAGGTGGAATGTACTGAGTAATCAAATGTCACAAAGTTGTTTTTATTATGTTGAAACTTGGTATTAAATATTGGCATACTTGTTTGTGCAAGGATCATTTTCATGCATCAGGGAAAATGCAATAAAGACATATGCTGAACTGGGGGGTACAGACAGGAATCAAGAATATTACAATTTAAAGAAACTTCCTCACTCATTCTCTTTGCCCTCCTCCTCTCCCATTCTCTTTGCCCTCCTCCTCTCCCATTCTCTTTGCCCTCCTCCTCTCCCATTCTCTTTGCCCTCCTCCTCTCCCATTCTCTTTGTCTACCTCCTCTCCCATTCTCTTTGCCCTCCTCTCCCATTCTCTTTGCCCTCCTCCTCTCCCATTCTCTTTGCCCTCCTCCTCTCCCATTCTCTTTGCCCTCCCCCTCTCCCATTCTCTTTGTCCTCCTCCTCTCCCATTATCTTTGTCTCCTTTCTCTCTCAGGCCACTCTCCTGCCCCTCCATTCCAGTCCAGAGTTGGTCTGATGCTGATGGCCCTGCTAGCTCTCTCTCTCTGCCTCTGATCAACCACTGAGACCACCACAGTATGCACACTGCATGTCTGTCTGCTGGCTGGGAGCCAATCACTCCCTTCCCTCTACCCTCACTGACCTGAGAAAGGACTGGATAGGAATAAGTGGTATTGTCGATATTGTAATTGCCCCATCTTGCCACCATAGGGCTGGGTTTAGTATGCTCAGCTCCTTTCCAATGTTTTTAGATTGTGAGGAGTCAACAAGAGGTCAGAAGGGAGGGGTCTATCCTCTTAGAATAGAACCCACCTCTACAATGTGTTTTTATGTCAATCATCTCTATTAACTGATATTCCTTTTAAAAACAACAATCTTGAAAACTGGTCTTCAACATGGTAATTTGTTTTTTAATGTAGAATTTTTAGAAAATTTAGAAGATGCTCTTATCCAGAGCGACTTACAGGAGCAATTAGGGTTAAGTGCCTTGTAATTGAAGGGGCAAACATCCACTGCTCAGCTGCACTGCCTATTTCTGTTTCTAATTCAATGTTCTTAGATATTCACTGCCCTTGTGACTGTTGCCCTGGAGTCCATTCACTGAGTCCCTTTCTGTGTTTGATCATGTATGTAAACTCTGTAGTTCAAGTACAAATTCAGGTATATTTAGCTTATAAATACCATAGAGTTAAAACGTTTCAAATGATAATACATTTAACTGGTGTTTATGTAAAACATGGCTTGTTTTTGCACATATTTAATGTATAAGCTTGTAAATCCTCGGAGGAGATGCAGGCTTATGCTGTTGTCTTATGTTTATTTTTCCTCTTCATTAATTATTGTCTTAAATAAAGTGTTGTCTTTTCACACCTGTCCTACTGAATGGTGCAATCTTGGGTGATTTCTTTATCGGCAAAATCGCTGTGAAGAAATGTGGATTTAATGAAGTAGCAACAGAAGGATTTAGAGTGGCACAATACACGCAAAAGGAAATATGAAATCTAATGATAAAATGCTAAAATAATACCTTGGAAATCACTCCACACGCATAGTGAAACTTGTTATAAAAACATGTATTACAAAGGAGTATAATTATATAATAAATGTTTATTAAAAAAGGAGTCATGGTTCTTGAGAGAGCAATATGAGATTACAAAACATGGTTTCAAGGTTTATAAAGTAGTTATTAAAGGTCAACTCTTTATATTGGAATACTCATGAAGTGTTTGCCTTGGTCACCCTTTGACCTCTCTACCCTTTCCATGATCTTCTGGCATTTCCAATGATTCTTGAATCCTTTCCTTAAGCACATTGCCACAACTGGATTGTGCGTAGGTTGGAGAGGATGGGAGAGAGATACACAGATTAGTGACTTTGGGAGAGTCCACTGTAACAAGTATTGTAGTAACTCTTCAATGTACTGCTGTTAGTGTTACAGAAACACAGGGCTACTCACAGGCCTTCGTGGGCTTGCGGTAGGATTTGGCAGAGTCCTGGCAGAGGCAGCTTCCACTCAAACCCTCTCTCGTCCTCCCTGAGTGACACAAAGCAAACTGCTGTGTTAGCCTGAGTGCCATTCGGTTTCGGCCAACTATTTGCCATCCAAAAACATTACTATCATTGCCTGTCAGAAACAGACTGACAAGCAGGCTAGGATTGTATCCACTTACAAAAATCACAAATTACTGTATATCCTTAAAATATACATACTGGACAAATAGCAATTACTTCCTAATTGTCACGACCTCGGCCGAGGCTGCCTCCCCTCCTTGTTCGGGCAGGCTTCGGCGTTCGTCGTCACCGGAGTACTAACCACTCCCGCCCCAATCATCATCACAATTGTCTTGTCTTGTTATCACACACACCTTGTTCTAATCCCTAATTAGTCTGTGTATAAGTGTTCCATCTGCCCCCTTGTCCTTGTGGGTGATTGTTTATTGTGGAGGTTAGTGAAGCTCGGTGGACCTCGTGTATTTTGTATCGACGGGAGTATTTCCCGTGTGCCTTGTATTTTCCAGTGCACCTGTTTTGTGCCCTGGAGTGTGTTTGACGCATTTCTGCGTAACCCTGTATTTTTGCGGATTAAAGCCAGTTATTCTGTGATTTACCCTCCTGCGCCTGACTCCTTCAACACCACCTCATCACACTAATCACTCACCCTTACAGTCACACAGTCTGTCATGGTGTCTGGGGGGGTTGATCTGGTCTCCAACTCTCCCTAGGTCCTCCACTGTAGCTGCACTGACACCTGAACGTTGTACATCAGTTTCAGGAATCCCTTGGTAGAGAGGATAATCAGAATGGATATGTATGTATGATGGATATTTATGCATGATGGATATGCCTGTATGACGGATATTTCTGTATGATGGATATGTCTGTATTACAGATATTTCTGTTGATGGATATGTACAGTGCATTCGGAAAGTATTCAGACCCCTTGATCTTTCCACATTTTGTTACGTCAAAGCCTTATTCTAAAATTGATTAAATCATTTTTTCCCCCTCATCAATCTAGACACAATACCCCAAAATGACAAAGCAAAAACTAGTTTTTATAAATTTTTGCAAATGTATAAAATAAAATAAAACTGAAATATGAAATGTACATAAGTATTCAGACCCTTTATTCATTACTTTGTTGAAACACCTTTGGCAGCGATTACAGCATCGAGTCTTCTTGGGTATGACGCTACAAGCTTGGCACACCTGGATTTGGGGAATTTGTCCCATTTTTCTCTGCAGATCCTCTCAAGTTCACAGGTTGGATGGGACGCGTCACTGCACAGCTATTTTTAGGTCTCTCCAGAGATGTTAGATCGGGTTCAAGTCTGGGCTCTGGCTGGGCTACTCAAGGACATTCAGAGACTTGTTCGAAGCCACTCCTGCCTTGTCTTGGCATTCAGGCCAAAGTGTTCAATCCTGTATTCATCAGACCAGAGAATCTTGTATCTCATGGTATGAGAGTCCTTTATGTGCCTTTTGGCAAACTCCAAGCGTGCTGTCATGTGCCTTTTACTGAGGAGTGGCTTCCGTCTGGCATCTCTACCATAAATGCCTGATTGGTGGAGTGCTGCAGAGATGGTTGTCCTTCTGGAAGGTTCTCCCATCTCCACAGAGGAACTCTGGAGCTCTGTCAGAGTGACCATCAGGTTCTTGGTCACCTCCCTGACCAAGGCCCTTCTCCCCCGATTGCTCAGTTTGGCCGGGCGGCCAGCTCTAGGAAGAGTCTTGGTGGTTCCAAACTTCTTCCATTTAAGAATGATGGAGACCACTGTTTTCTTGGGGACCTTCAATGCTGCAGACATTTGCTGGTACCCTTCCCCAGATATGTGCCTCGACACAATCCTGTCTTGGAGCTCTACGGACAATTCCTTCGACCTCATGGCTTGTTTTTTGTTCTGACATGCACTGTCAACTGTGGGACCTTGTATACACAGGTGTGTGCCTTTCTAAATTATGTCCAATCAATTGTAATTACCACAGGTGGACTCCAATCAAGTTGTAGAAACATCTCAAGGATGATCAATGGAAACAAGATGCACCTGAGCTCAATTTCGAGTCTCATAGCAAAGGGTCTGAAAACTTATGTAAATAAGGTATCTGTTTTATAATTTGTAATACATTTGCAGATATTTCTAAAAACCAGTTTTTGCTTTGTCATTATGGGGTATTGTGTGTAGATTGATGATAATTGTATTTATTTAATCAATTTTAGAATAAGGCTGTAATGTAACAAAATGTGGAAAAAGTCAAGTGGTCTGAATACTTTCCGAATGCACTGTATGTACGATGGATATTTCTGTATGATGGATGTGTCTGTATGATGAACATTTCTGTATGACGGATATGTCTGTATGATGGATATGTCTGTATGATGGACATTTCTGTATGACGGATATGTCTGTCCGTATGATGGATGTCTGTGTGCAACTACTATGAGATGGCTATGTCTGTCTGCAACGCTTCATGAAACGCTCAGAACATCAGAAACAAACAATCAAATTCACATGTCAATTTGTTTACAAGTCTCCCTATGAGTTAAGAGCTAAATGTAGTGCTTTCACAGACACCTCAAATCATGCACACCAGTAGCAGCTTTATTAAGTGTAACCTGCTTTAACTCACTGTACATGATAAAGGCAAATACATTCAACAGTAAATCAAACAGAATGTTCAATACTTTACCTTGACCGGTGAATGCCAATAAACAGAACAGCAAAAGCATCTTTAATCCCATTCCTATGTCCACACTATCCTTGTGAATGTGCAATATAACCTCTGCAGCTACTACTGAATGAACAACTAACCTCTGCAGTTACTTCAGCCTTTTATATAGACGTGTCTCAGTCTGAGATGAAATGGGCCATGTTGTATGAAGTGTGTCCCCCTACCAACACTCACACCTGCCTTGTGGCTTGTTGTGTTATATATGCCAAGCGTCTTGGAAAGAGTGGACGTTAGCCAAAACAACACCTCATAGTGTTAAAGATGAGTGATGTCAGCCTGACAGGTGGATGAGGGCCCTTCATGACATGTGATAGTGTCTATGGCAAAACACTCTTCTGCCTTCATAGCTTATGTTCAATAAATATACTTTCTTTCAGAGCAAACTAACAAATAACGTTAATTAAATAGAATGTTCACCTGAAGACTTGAAGGCCGCTTGAAAGCGTCAGCCAGACACTGTGATTGTTTCCTTCGCAAACATTAAGACAACGATCAAATATTCCTCTAGCAAAACAATTAGGAAATAAAAGCATCATTGATCTGATAGGTCAGTATGCTGCCCAGATCATCATTCAAGCGATTAGAGCAAACTAAATGCCAGTTTATTTGTGTAAAAGGGTTAGAAATTATATTTGCACTGAGTCAAATCTCACATTGACTATCACAGAACATGAACATTCTTTCACGGCTTAACGGTTTGGTACTTGCTGGATTCCATTAATCAGTCATGGTATTGTGCTCCACACCGCTATGTTGGATTGGCTGGTTCATTCACCCCCACGTCGATGATATCTCTGACAATCAACTTAAAAACAGATATTTACACTTGGTCTCTTGATCTTCCGTTTTCGGGCATGTTAGAAGCTGTAAGGTGGAACTGGTAAACAAATACTTCTGGACAACTGACACTGCCAACTAACCATAAGAAAGAGTGGGTCCAACATCTCATCAGAGTACTGTGTGTCACTAGACAGCTCTCTATTTGTGGTTCTCTGCTCAGGCATAACTCAACACGTACAGGTACAGTATCTTGGATGTGCTCACCACATCACATGCAGGTATAAAACTGTTTGGTCATCCCAATCCAATAAACCTCTCCATTGTTGCGTTCCATGTGTACTCTCGCTACACTCTTTAGTTTGAGTACATTAAGCAATCAAAACACACTCACTGGAACACACACACTGGATGTTTTGACAAGCTAGAGCTAAAGTTCAATTATGTTATTACTTTGGTTTAAAAACTTTTCTTTGAACAGCCATCATGCAGACACACTTCAGTGGTTGGAAGCTGCAAACAACGCAATGTCCATACATACTGTAAGCTTTCATTGGTTTTTAATTTTGACATCAAATTCAGCTTTTCCACAATCAACATTCAAGATCAGCAACACAAACATCGTCAAGTAGAGACTGGTAGACCTACATAAGCAGTATATACAAACAGTCAACGCAGCCTTTTATAGGGAGTCTTGGGTGACGTGAGGGTGACTGCCTTTGAATAAAGAGTGCAAGACAAGTATAAGCTAGCTACAACACATCCATACACACTGACTACAGAATCATATCATATCCAAGCCAAATACCCACCAGTCTCAGCGCTACTTTGAAATGCCCTCATCATTCACTCCAAATACACCATACCATTCCACTTCATTCTCCATATTTGTACAGACAAAATAAAACATATTCAGGGTAAATCTTCACAAGTAACAAAAAGCAACGGTGGTAAACAGATACCGGAAACAAGTAATGCTTTAACAGTGGAGCCAACTGGCCAAGTGATGCCTTGTTGCATCGTCACCGTAAATGGTCTCCTTGTCTAAACACATATGACACACCATTAAAGGGATTTAAAATGATATTATTAGTAACCATTCAGATCACTAGAACTGTATATGTTTTCAAAGTAAAGAGAAAAATAAAAAGAAAGGAAATGTGGTTATTTTGACAGAGGAAACTAAACAAACCTTTATTATGGTAGCTTTCAGATTTTCCTAACCTTTCTGTGGGGAAGCTTATAATGTATCTATCAGCCAGAAGAGAGAGATCCTGGCATATTGTGCATAATATACACCATACAGCATGAAACTAAAGAGAAGGATAATCTCTCAAATCAGATCAATCAAATCTCCAACGGTGTTAAGCGGTCAAATCTGACTAGCAACACAGACATTTGATCCTATTAGTACTTAGCGGTCCTCTACTCAGCCACTTTGGTGGTAAGTCACAGTACGGTCCAATAGAGTAGAGTAGTGCAGTGGTTACCAACCCTGGTTCTGGAAAGCCTTTTTAGTGCAGGCTTTTCTTCCAGCCCAGCATTCAAAACATTCAACGTGATTCAACCAATCAAGGACTAGATCATTATTTGAATCATGGGTTGGAACAAAAGCAGGGTTGGAACAAAAGCCTGTACTAAAATACTAAAAAGTGTTCTAAAAGTAGTGAATGTGCTAAAAGCCTGTATCTTGTGTCTCTCCAGGACCAGGGTTTGTACCTCTGATGTAGTGAGTGGGTCATTTGGTCATTGGCCATCAGTTCTCCATCAGCTGGTCTTTGGCCTGTTTCTCCAACAGGCCCTTGAGGTGGGTGTGTAGCGGCTGGCACACAGCCTGGTAGCCCTGAGGGGTGAGGTGGAGGTAGTCATACAGGTCCTGGTGGGAGATGCTGCCGTCCGAGTGTACAAAGCCGGGGTCCACGTTGAGGAGGGAGGCGTGGGAGAGGGAGGACACGGCCTCCTGGACCAGCTTGTTGACCTGGGCATTCCTCTCCCGCATGGGGTTGGGCATCTTACCCCTGGGCAGCACTCCCTGTGGTTGGAAACATACATGATAGCACAGGAAGCTGCTGAGAGGAGAACAGCTCATAATAAAGTCTGGAACAGAGAAAATAGAATGGCATCAAACACCTGAAAACCACTTGTTTGATACCATTCCACTGATTCAGCTCCAGCTATTACCATGAGCCCGTTCTCCCCAATTAAGGTCCCACCAACGTCCTGTGCATGATAGTCACTAGATGTCCATGCTATAAAGGACAAACGTGCCAATATAGTCAGCAATGATAATGGAGACCATAAGTATGCAGTTTATAATTTAGGTTTGGGTTATCATAAAGGTTAATGGTTGTAAAGGAGATTTTCCAGGTGAACAAAAGGGAGAGCAGTCGATCATATGAATCAAAATAATTTATGTTTATTACAAGAATTCATGGAGAACATCTCCAGAGAAGAAGCCAAGAGAAATGTCTAATGGGCTTCTCTGAGAATGTGCATATATACACTGAACAGAAATATAAACGCAACATGTTTAATGAGCTGAAATAAAAAATCTCAGAAATGTTCCATATGCACAAAAAGCTTATTTCTAAAATGTTGTGCACAGATTTGTTTACATCCCTGTTAGTGAGCATTTCTCCTTTGCCAAGAGTATCCATCCACCTGACAGGTGTGGCATATCAAGAAGCTGATTAAACAGCATGATCATTACACAGGTGCACCTTGTGCTGGGGACAACACAATGTCACACAACACAATGCCACAGTCTCAAGCTGAGGGAGCGTGCAGCTGGCATGCTGACTGCAGGAATATCCACCAGAGCTGTTGCCAGAGAATTTAATGTTAATTTCTCTACCATAAACTGCCTCTAACGCTGGGCCTGGCTCCCCAGTGGGTGGGCCTGGCTGCAAATGTGGGTGGGCCTATGTCCTCCCAGGCCCACCCATGGCTTTATTCCTGCCCAGTGATGTGAAATCCATAGTTTAGGGCCTGATTAATTGATTTCAATTGACTGATTTCCTTATATGAAATTGTTGCATGTTGCATTTATATTTTTGTTCAGTGTATTAATCCCACAGCACCAAATGTTCTGCAAACACCAGCCCCAGTGTCAGTAGCTGAGTGTAGATGCGGTGAGGAATCAAGCGCAGGAAACACGGGCGTTCGTCAACAGACTTTAGTCACAAAAATAACAGCACCAAACAGGCGAACAGCCAACCCAACCGGGAGGCAAAATACAAAGTATGCACAACACACACAGTGCGTAAAAATGACGACAGCGCACACAGTGCGGACTCTCGGAAAAACAACAATCCTGAGAGTAATATCAAAGAGCAACAGCTTGACAAATAAACAATACCACATAACACCTGCCCCCACACACGAAAACTAAATAGGCAACCAAATCAAACACTAACAAGGGACAGGTGTACAAACAGACAAAACCAAACAAACATGAAACATCGAACGGTGGCAGCTAGTACTCCGGGGACGACGACCGCCGAAGCCTGCCCGAACAAGGAGGAGGAGCAGCCTCTGCCGAAACCGTGACACCCAGAGGCTTGTAAGAAGTCACAACATCAGCGGCTACAGAATCACACCGTGTCACAGCTAAATGATCAGTGTGTCCTCGGCGAAGTCTGGTGGCAAACTTTAACCATAACATTCAACACTGGCAGACATTTGATACTGCCAGTTAAACAGGTCAAAAGGTAGGAACATCAGTACTTAGTAACAGTAAATCAAATACAAGAAAATAATTAATCTAATAATTTCCCATTACAATGGTTTAACTCACATTTGTGGTATGAAAGAGGCATAAAAACCTAAGCAAATAACAAGCATAATCATTGCAAAACTGCCTTGTGATAAAAACATTGCGGATGACATTGAAAATAACTAAACCGGGGGTCCCGTTCAGTACGAGAGTGCAAACCTTCGGCAGCTTGTCCTAGATGAGTTCGACCATGTCAATGATGCCGCCACAGATCTGTTTAGCAGTGTGACCGTGATTATTGGTGCCCACCCACAGCACCACAACCTGATGAATGCAGAGGCGCAAACATAAACAAACTTGGTGGGCAGTTTCATTCAAACCATGTTCAATGATTGATACTGATGGTACTTAAAGTGCTTTTGGCCAGGAACAGGCTTGGGACCATGTGTCTGTGCAGCGATTAGGGTTTAAATCTTAACAATGAGTAGTGTATGATCAACTCTAATGTAACGCACTAATGTCTTGTCTGTGTGTATACATACAGTACCAGTCAAAAGTTTGGGCACACCTACTCATTCAAGGGTTTTTCTTTATTTTGACTATTTTCTAATTGTATAATAAAATTGAAGACATCAAAGCTATGAAATAACATATATGGAATCATGTAGTAACCCAAAAAGTGTTAAACAAATAAAAACATATTTTTAGATTTTAGATTCTTCAAAGTAGCCACCCTTTGCCTTGATGACAGCTTTGCACACTCTTGGCATTCTCTCAACCAGCTTCTCCTGGAATGCTTTTCCAACAGTCTTGAAGGAGTTCCCACATATGTTGAGCACTTGTTGGCTGATTTTCCTTCACTCTGGGGTCCAAATCATCCCAAACCATCTCAATTGGGTTGAGGTCGGGTGATTGTGGAGGCCAGGTCATCTAAGATGCAGCACTCCATCACTCTCCTTCTTGGTCAAATAGCCCTGACACAGCCTGGAGGTATCTATGCTGCAATAGTCTATGTGCCGGGGGGCAAGGGTCAGTCTGTTATATCTGGTGTTATTCTCCTGTCTTATCTGGTGTCCTGTGTGAATTTAAGTATGCTCCCTCTAATTCTCCCTCTCTCCCTCCCATCCCGGAGGACCTGAGCCCTAGGACCATGCCTCAGGACTACCTGGCCTGATGACTCCTTGCTTTCCCCAGTCCACCTGGTCGTGCGGCTTCTCCAGTCTCCACTCTTCCGCCTGCGGCTATGGAACCCTGACCTGTTCACTGGGACGTGCTACCTTGTCCCAGACCTGCTGTTTTCAACTCTCTCTCTCTCTACCGCACCTGCTATTTCAACCTTTAAATGCCCGGCTGTGAAAAGCCAAGTGACATTTACTCCTGATTTACTGACCTGTTGCAACATCTACAACCACTGTGATTATTATTTGACCCTGCTGGTCATCTATGAACGTTTGAACATCTTAGAGAAAAATCTGGCCTTAATGGCCATGTACTGTTACAGTGAGGGAAAAAAGTATTTGATCCCCTGCTGATTTTGTACGTTTGCCCACTGACAAAGACATGACCAGTCTATAATTTTAATGGTAGGTTCATTTGAACAGTGAGAGACAGAATAACAACAAAAATATCCAGAAAAACGCATGTCAAAAATGTTATAAATTGATTTGCATTTTAATGAGGGAAATAAGTATTTGACCCCCTCTCAATCAGAAAGATTTCTGGCTCCCAGGTGTCTTTTATACAGGTAACGAGCTGAGATTAGGAGCACACTCTTAAAGGGAGTGCTCCTAATCTCAGTTTGTTACCTGTATAAAAGACACCTGTCCACAGAAGCAATCAATCAATCAGATTCCAAACTCTCCATCATGGCCAAGACCAAAGAGCTCTCCAAGGATGTCAGGGACAAGATTGTAGACCTACACAAGGCTGGAATGGGCTACAAGACCATCGGCAAGCAGCTTGGTGAGAAGGTGACAACAGTTGGTGCGATTATTCGCAAATGGAAGAAACACAAAATAACTGTAAATCTCCCACGGCCTGGGGCTCCATGCAAGATCTCACCTCGTGGAGTTGCAATGATCATGAGAACAGTAAGGAATCAGCCCAGAACTACACGGGAGGATCTTGTCAATGATCTCAAGGCAGCTGGGACCATAGTCACCAAGAAAACAATTGGTAAGACACTACGCCGTGAAGGACTGAAATCCTGCAGCACCCGCAAGGCCCCCCTGCAAAAGAAAGTACATATACAGGCCCGTCTGAAGTTTGCCAATGAACATCTGAATGATTCAGAGGAGAACTGGGTGAAAGTGTTGTGGTCAGATGAGACCAAAATCGAGCTCTTTGCCATCAACTCAACTCGCCGTGTTTGAAGGAGGAGGAATGCTGCCTATGACCCCAAGAACACCATCCCCACCGTCAAACATGGAGGTGGAAACATTATGCTTTGGGGGTGTTTTTCTGCTAAGAGGACAGGACAACTTCACCGCATCAAAGGGACGATGGACTGGGCCATGTACCGTCAAATCTTGGGTGAGAACCTCCTTCCCTCAGCCAGGGCATTGAAAATGGGTCGTGGATGGGTATTCCAGCATGACAATGACCCAAAACACACGGCCAAGGCAACAAAGGAGTGGCTCAAGAAGAAGCACATTAAGGTCCTGGAGTGGCCTAGCCAGTCTCCAGACCTTAATCCTATAAAAAAATCTGTGGAGGGAGCTGAAGGTTTGAGTTGCCAAACGTCAACCTCGAAACCTTAATGACTTGGAGAAGATCTTCAAAGAGGAGTGGGACAAAATCCCTCCTGAGATGTGTGCAAACCTGGTGGCCAACTACAAGAAACATCTGACCTCTGTGATTGCCAACAAGGGTTTTGCCACCAAGTACTAAGTCATGTTTTGCAGAGGGGTCAAATACTTATTTCCCTCATTAAAATGCAAATCAACTTATAACATTTTTGACATGCGTTTTTCTGGATTTTTTTGTTGTTATTCTGTCTCTCACTGTTCAAATAAACCTACCATAAAAATTATAGACTGATCATGTCTTTGTCAGTGGGCAAACGTACAAAATCAGCAGGATATCAAATACTTTTTTCCCTCACTGTATAATCTCCACCCGGCACAGCCAGAAGGGGACTGGTCACCCCTCAGAGCCTGGTTCCTCTCTAGGTTTCTTTCTAGGTTTCTGCCTTTCTAGGGAGTTTTTCTAGCCACCGTGCTTCTACATCTGCATTGCTTGCTGTTTGGGGTTTTAGGCTGGGTTTCTGTATAACACTTTGTGACATCTGCTGATGTAAAAAGGGCTTTAGAAATACAATTTGATTGGAGGTGTGTTGGGTCCTGTTGAAAAACAAATGATAGTCCCACTAAGTGCAAACCAGATGGGATGGCGTATCGCTGCAGAATGCTGTGGTAGCCATACTGGTTAAGTGTGCCTTGAATTCTAAATAAATCACAGACAGTGTCACCAGCAAAGCACCCCCACACCATCACACCTTCTCCTCCATTCTTCACGGTGGGAACCACACATGCAGAGATCATCTGTTCATCTACCCTTCCTCTCACAAGACACAGTGGTTGGAACCAAAAATCTCAAATTTGGACTCAGACCATAGGACAGATTTCCACCGGTCTAATGTCCATTGCTCGTGTTTCTTGGCCCAAGCAAGTCTCTTCTTCTTATTGGTGTCCTTAGAAGTGGTTTCTTTGCAGCAATTTGACCGTGAAGGCCTGATTCACGCAGTCTCCACTGAACAGTTGATGTTGAGATGTGTCTGTTACTTGAACTCTGTGATGCATTTATTTGGGCTGCAATTTCTGAGGCTGGCAACTCTAATGAACTTATCCTCTGCAGCAGAGGTAACTCTTGGTCTTCCTTTCCTATGGCGGTCCTCATGAGAGCCAGTTTCATCATAGCGCTTGATGGTTTTTGCGACTGCACTTGAAGAAACGTAAAAAAAGTTATTGAAATGTTCTGTATTGACTAACCTTCATGTCTTAAAGTAATGATGGACTGTTGTTTCTCTTTGCTTATTTGAGCTGTTCTTGCCATAATATGGACTTGGTCTTTTAGCAAATAGGGCTATCTTCTGTATACCCCCCTTGTCACAACACAGCTGATTGGTTCAAACACATTAAGAAGAAAATAAATTCCACAAATTAACTTTTAAGAAGGCACACCTGTTATTTGAAATGCATTCCAGGTGACTACCTCATGAAGCTGGTTGAGAGAATGCCAAGAGTGTGCAAAGCTGACATCAAGGCAAAGGGTGGCTATTTGAAGAATCTCAAATATAAAATATATTTTGATTTGTTTAACACGTTTTTGGTTACTACATGATTCCATATGTGTTATTTCATAGTTTTGATGTCTTCTATTATTCTACAACGTAAAAAATTGTAAAAATAAAGAAAAACTCAGTCTCCACAAGGCATTCTACCTCCCACCCCAAAGTTGAGAACGTGGAGAACAGCTCTCGCCACACCTGAAAAAGACACATCAACACAACACAAGTATGTCAGCTAGAATAACATAGCAGCTGTTATTCAGTTGTGCAACTGGTTACCAGCAGTGGTAAAGAGCGCCACAGTCAGGCAGAAAAATCTGAATTTTCTATCAAAGTTAGTTTCCCTGGCTGATATGGCTGCTACTTAGAAATACATTACATTCTATAAATGCTAGAAATACATCTCTGTGTGAAAAGGTCTGTTTTGTCAACAAACTCAATGTATTCCAAACACTGGTGGTAACCAGATTGTAGTGCTCTAGATGGCACAGTATAATTAAATTGACAATGGAGACTGAAGTACTATTACTTTTAGCTTTGTATCTGAAGCATGGTAAGAACTAAGACCGCTTATTTACATATCCCCTTGACCTTCAACCTCAAGAGTGATACTGATTGGCTGTTAAACACAAGGACGTTATGGACTATCATTAAAGGTGTATACGATAGCTCCATATTATACATCCCCCCTCTTAACTAGAGCTTACAAGTAAACATAACTTTTTAACAGTATATTTTTTTTTTACAGGAATATAGTATTTTTGTTGAGTCAAAGGTGCTCTAGTTTCACTTACAATACCAGGCTTTACCTCTGACTCACTCAAGCACATAGTCATGTGGCCTCGCTGGTAGTTCTATATCGTGGAGCTCCGCCCCATAGGGGAGCTCTGCTCCTATTGGTTTACCCTCTGCCCTAAGGCAGCATCAGCCTGAGACAAAATTATGCACACACCTGCAGCCAATAGGAGTACAGGTGTCCCTATAAGAGGGGATGCCTCCCCTCAATCTGCCTCCCTTTATCTTCAGCGACTGGACT